TTAAAAAAGGTTCAAACATTCACTGATGCTCCAGAAGGAAACACGATGCATTAAGAGATTAATTTGAAGATCAAGGTAAATTAAAATTATATTTCAGTAAAATAAGAAAAATTGGGACATATTCATCCTGTTCAAAAAGTTTTCACCCCCCGGCTCTTAATGCATCGTGTTTCCTTCTGGAGCATCAGTGAATGTTTGTTAAATGGGTAAATGGGGTTATTTGAATAATTTCAGCTATTTTTTTGTCTTGTGGGCTATATGTAAACATCTTTTATGTTTACTCGGGAACAGATTCTGCAAGGGGTTCCCAAACTTTCACATGTCACTGTATATACACATACATACACAATAAAAAAATTATTACATTTAGCATTTCAATGGTGTATATCTTCATTTCATGCTTTTTAAATTTTTATACAATTAGAATACAAAATTATTTGAACATAATTTGAGTGAAACGAAACCATGCAAAATTAATGAAAAACTTCCTAAAATAAATAAATTACATTTCTTAATATTTGCAAAGAAAATGTAATTTCTATGTTATGCCAGCATGATTGGTTTGTTAAATCATTCATTAAATTTTAGAGAAGTAAAATGTTTAAAACTTAATTACATAAAAGTAAAGTTAATTACCTGTAACGTTTTATTATACACATAAAATTATGAATGAACTTTTTTTTTTCCAACCCAGGCTGCATTCCACTCCACTTTTAAACACGCACTCACAAACTTCCCTAAGCACTTCCCCTCGGGGGAATCCCCGCTGCCATTTTGAAGTGCGTTCCACTTCATGAAGTAAACGAGGGAAGTTTATATGGACAGACCCTCGACCCCTTGATTTTGACCCGAGGGAGCGAGTCTATGGGATTACATCTCTGCCATAATTCTGCTCGCGAAATATCATATTTTTTCCTCTTCTGCTGTCGAGGTAATGCAAGGAATGTTGTGATTGGTTGTCAAGGCAGCCAATCAGAATTTAGCAGCCTCATCTCTGATTGGCTGAAATTATGGCATATTGTAACGCTGGGTTGTGTTGAGCAAGCGAGCTGTTGGCATTAAGAGAGCACTGAGGGTGGGAATCAAGGGAGCAAGCTAGTGAAACGTTGCACGTGCAAAAGAGGTCTGCACACATCCAAAAACTTATTTTAAATGCAAAATTGATTTTCGTGCGCTCGAAATACTTTCTTCTTTGCGAGACAAATATTTTCTCCACAAAACTCAGTTCGCGCACAAGCAAAATGCACTTTTGCGCGCTCAAAATATGATCTTTCGTGCGCAGAATTGTGGCAGAGATCCAAGCCTATACGAGTCTGCTTCATATGCACACTTCAGGCCACTCCATAGACCACAATGCACCACGATTGTGACGTCATCACAGATCGCGTTTAATTTATCCCCACCCCAAACAACTATAATATCTAAATGATTTTTTTTTTTTTTACATTTATAACAGCCCAAGCATACCTATATACACATATAGAATGCTGTACCAAACAAAGGGGGAAAATGTAAACAATAAACCAACTCCATAGCAGATTCTAAGTGATCAAGGGCTTAGGTCCTAGGACGTTCCAATTCAGCCCATTCCAATGGTTCTGCCAGTAGTGGGCACTCATGCAACGTAATCAATGACGTACATCCGAGTAAACGAGACGGAGGGAAGTTGGCCAGTGAAGGGCATAACAAAAAAATGAACTGGAACGCAGCCCCAGACTATCCGTAGGTCTAGTGGCCTTTAGTGGTCAGTACCTGATCTGCAGGCCTTTACTCCAGGAGCACATGTCCTTGCGGAGCAGTAAGTTGTTGAGTGTAACAGAGCAGATGACGTAGAACTGCTGTTTGATGACCTGTCGGACCAGCTCGGTGTCGTTGCCGTGCTGAAGCAGCGTGTAATAGAACACATCCAGCTGCTTCAGAATGGACTCCAGCGAGTGAGAGCCCTCCTCATGGAAACTGGGCGTGCGCTTCCTCATTCCTGTGGGCTTCACACCCATCACACCCTGAATGGTCTCCTGCTCCAGCATGGCTGGTGCTAGAATGAGGAGAAGAGGGAATGATCTAGCAGAGAGTGTATATGAAATATTCAAATATTTATAACCAGAGCATGCAGCATTACCAATCTTGGGGTGTAAAATGTTTTCTATGACCCTGATGAGCTGCTGGTAGATCTGAATAGCCAGATCACTCAGAACCTGCCGGTACTCGGCCAGGTCAAAGTTGGAGAGACAGTGATCGTTCTGTTTAGGAGTGTTATGCTTCATGAATTGCTGGAGAGAGAGGAAGGAAAAAGTGTTGATTCTGTTTGAAAAACATTGGAGACAGAGAGCAACTGTGGCCACATATACAACGAAGATAAAGGTCATCACTGGGTAATGTTCAGGATTCCCAGAGTTTTCAATGACTTTTCCCAGACACTTCCAGCTGTTTGTGATTAAACAAAACGCTCTCTCAAGATAAGAAATTATATTGTGCTTAAAATTATGGGCAATTGGGCATTTTGGACACTATCTTTGTGTATATAAAATTATTCTATTCATGGCTTTAGAATGTTTCACCAGCTTCAAATTGCTTTTTGTGAATATAATCACTATTAAATAATAAAACAATCTCCATCCATTAAAAGCAGGAGCTTAAAAAAACAAACAAAAGAATCTCTTGACTACATTCACTAACAATTAATGTCACTTATGCTGGTTTGGTTAAAAATAGATAAGAGCGAAAATGTTCCCCATGCAAATTTGTCTCATATTCAAATAGATCACATTAATTCACCATGCAAACCAACAGAAAGCTGCTTGGTTTAAAAGGGCCCTCAGTGTGCAAAGTTCATTTTTACTGGAGTTTTATTTTTTCAGTCACAGTCTTTTGACTAAAATGTAGTTTTAGTCATATTAGTCTGCTGATTTTTTTTGGCTTAATTTAGCTTTAATATCATAAGTACTATATTCTACTGTTTACTGTAAGGCATCAATTGAGCATTTCTCTAAAATTTCCAAACTCATTATAACAGGAGATAAAATTGGTTAACCTTTTAATAGGAATGATATTAAGGTTTGATTGTGCAATATAGACATAGATACTGTTGTGACAAATACATACATATATATATATATATATATATATATATATATATATATATATATATATATATATATATATACACTTTG